ACAAACTTAGAAACCTTATGGTTGTGCAAAAAAATGGTGATAGATGACCGAAAAATGGTTCCTCTGCCTTCCTAACGAACCGCCTAAAAGCCGGATTTTTGTTGGAAAACGCGCTCTGCTTACTAGCTTCATCAGGTTCTTCGGCTTTCTGTTTGCCGGCCGCCTGCTGCCGTGCAGGCCGCCTGCTGCCGTAGTACACACTTCCGCAACGCAATAGAGCGTCCGGGCCACGATTAAAGGATGAGTGTACAACTATTACATAGTTATCTTCCATGTGTTCATTTACCACCTTGTAAAACGCCGGGAAGGATGGAAAACACAGTCATCAATTTCTCAACAAAGTTATGTGAAGCCACTTCTCAAGCAGGCGAGTTCAAAAACAAGCGCGCGCCAAAAAGTTAGAAGCAAGATTATTTTAAAAAAGTAATACGAAATGACGATAGATTATGGTGATTTTTCGCTTCAGCACATGCAAAAAATGCGACATTGTGGTTTAAAAAGTGTTATTTCATTCGCAAATGTTTTGCAGAAAAATGCGTCTAAGGTGCGGCTTATCGTGTTCCTGCCCGCAAAGTCCAGACTGTAACGGCCAGATCATGTCTCATCTAGTGCACCCTGAAAGAGAGGAAACAAAACTGTGGTTATTTTGTTTATCCCAGCTCGATGTTTGTTGTCACGTGCTAGATACCCTAAGCTGTGAACACCTCATGGCATGACACGCGAACTGCATAAATGCTTACTTTCCACCGCTTTCATCGTCATACATTTGTTCATACTCTGCCCCAACCAGCACCATAGGCGGCATCCTGCAGTTTGACTTTTCATTGAGGCAGCTCATATCCCCGAGGATACTCTTCAAGTCTATAGTTTCACTGGTCATCGATGCCAGGCAATAACAGTAACTATAATAGCCTCCGCGTTTTCTTGCCCCAAGCCTTGCATTCCACAAGCTTGATGCCGAAATTGAATGGTTCCAGGCTGTGCCAAAAACGGGCTCAATGGGGCTGCCCGACAGCCTGAATATTCTCTCGTGCCAAGTGATTCGGAGGAAGGCATCAATGGAGTTGACGCCTTTTTAACATCATCACCGTCCAAGGTTGCTTTCTTGTACCTCAGGTTCATCGGTTTTAAACAGATTCACCTGCTTGAACCGTATTTTTGATGACAGTGCGCGTGCATCCCCCAATCCAAGTGGCTAAGCTTATGTTCACTAATAGTTTTGGCTTGTTTTTGGTAACCTC